ATTTTCTCCTGAAGCTTTAATATTTCTATTGGCCCATGTCGATAAAATCAAAGCTTTGCCTATTCAAAGAACTAAAGATTTTTTTCATAGAGACAGACAGATTCAAACGAGTAAAGATTCTTCTAATCAATTTGCAAATATAGTTTTTTATTTTTATAAATCCTTTTTAGAATCTTCGACATTTTGGTTAAAAATTGTGTGTATCTGTCGTCAACTGGATACCATGAATTATTATGGGAAATTGGCTCGTTTTTGATTTGGAAATTCTTGCAAAAATCAGATAACTGGCTGATTTTAAAGAACCTTACAGAACGTATTGACAAATGAATTAAATTAATTATGACATGTTTTCTTTTTGAGAAAATCTTGGTAAAGTACATTTTTTTACATCTGTTAACCCCTTAACTTATTTAATTTTATGAAATTTCGATAAAGTTTTCTACGGCTTAATGTTTATGTTCGTTATAAGTACAAATCCTCGGAGAGCATAATCATCATTTTTTGTTGGGGTTAAACATCTCACCCGGTTACAGAAAATCAGCTCTGAATTCTACAATAAAAAATGCAATAAAACTATGACATTATTCAATTAGAAAAGCTTTTAATTGCTTTTATGAATAAAATATATTATAGATACTACTATCTTAAGAACATTTTTTTCGATGAATAATGACTATTTACAATAACTGTTTTCATTTTTTAAAATTTTAATTAGAATAATATTTAAATCATTTAAAATTCTGTATTAATTTGTAGCAGTCAAGTGATATTGTTATGAAATAACAACTGGTATTTATTAATCATAAATGGAAAAGTTTACTACAATTCATCGACCACCAGTATTTTAAAAAGAATTTTTAATTTGTCTGTGTGTTTGTGTGTATAAACGTGCCGGTTTTTGGAAATACAGATATCCATACCGGATATTATCAGAAATAAAAGCGGTAAATATAGTAAATTTTAAAGTTATTGGTAATTTTCTAACATTTCCCCAACAATCGTCTTCATAAATAAGAAAAACAAAGTAATTCAATTAATTTATTAGAATCTTTAATATATTTTAAATTTTCAAGAATTACTAGGTTGTTAAAACAATTATATAAAAAAAAGCGTTTACGTTATATTCATCATGCAAATTTATTACAGTTATTTACACCTTATTTAAATTTCTAAAATATTAGTTTATAAATACATGATTCAGCATCTCATAAAAAGCCCATTTCCGTGTTAAAAACAATTTGCTACGATATTTTAAATTAAAAGTAATATTTGTTCCAATTCAGATTAATTAATTAAACTTTAAATCAATTATTTTTCTCATAAATCGTTTCAGAAATTATATTTTATTTTTGAATGATTTTTTAATAAAATGAATTATGTTGTGTTGATAGATTTGTCAATATGGGCGACTTTAACTGATAATCAAAACAATAAATCTTTACAATTTGAATTCTGAAATACAGCGAAGTTGTTTGTTTATTGGAAATATTAAATTTAATCTTGGAATTGAAACTAAAATAAAAACTTTAAGAAAGATTCTTCATTTAAAATAATGCATTTTATACCTTAGTCTTTTTGTAAATACTGGCTATATATTATTACCTAATAACAGTTTTTAGATTTTCATTCCTTCACAAGAGGAAAAAAGTTAGTTTCCGCAGTTTCCTCACTACTTTGCCAACCTTTTGCGAAAAGAAGCTTCGAAGAGAAGTATATAATCATACTCGGAAGATGAAAGAAAAAGCTTAAAATCAAATCCAAAGTAGACAGCAAGGAATTCCATCGTTATTTTAATTCCAAGTATTATGATATATAGACCTATACAAATAAATTTGAAAACTTATCCCCACTCCTACTTAAACTCTTCAATATAATACTATTTCACTTTCAAAAGTAAATCATTTTTTCTGAAGTTATTGAATATCGCTTGAAAATGGAACAATAATTTTAGTTCCGAAACACTGAAATTTCTGTGTCGCGATGAAAAAATATTTTATATGAAAATATTATAATATTATGTGCTACACTGTATCGAGCACTTTTTAAACAATAAATACCAAAGAACTGTGGCATTTCCGTTAAGTTAACCATCTAAATAGGTCAAGGTTCGGTCACTCCTCCTACCCCAATATAAAGCATGCTTAAGAGAGATATGAAATTAACCCCTCCCTATACTCTACCTTGTCTCTTTAACTACAATTCTCACCCCACTGTTAAATTACAAAAATTACACCACCCATCAATTTCTAATCCCATTTTTCCTTTCATTTCGTTGTTGGAAGTGTTACCTGATGATCCGGATTCCTTTAAAAAGGATTTTGGTGAAATAAATTATTGTAATGGTACCTTAAAGTGGTCTTTTTTCATTAAATATTAGCTCTGTATTCACAGTGAGCTCTCAGGATTTCATCCTCCTTGGAATTACCCATTCGGTTTACCAAGTTCTTCGTAACTTATATATATATATATATATATATATATATATATATATATATATATATATACACACACACACACATATATATATATATATATATATATATATATATATATATATATATATAGAGAGAGAGAGAGAGAGAGAGAGATTGAGAGAGAAACATATATGTATATTTCACACCTAAAATAACTATGAATACACACATAAATAATAATGACTGGCTACCTCTTTCTATGCATACCTATTTATTGGGGAGAATAGTCAATCCCTGTTGCAGCCACCTGCTCACGCGCTCGTTTCCCACCCATAGAGCCCACATTTAGTGTTTAGTGCAACTATGTTGAACCGAGTTTAGGTATAGATTTCGTTAGATAGAGCACATCATCTGGTGGGATCAGCAGTTTGAACAAGGTCTGTCCCCCATACCTCCACGATTATATACACCATATATATATATATATATATATATATATATATATATATATATATATATATATATATATATATATATATATATATATATATATGCGCGTGTGTGTGTATTAGTTTTTTTTTTAGTCATTATTCCATAAATTATTTAGTTTAGCATTGTATCATAGTAATATTGATCATGTTTTCGAAGGAGTGCTCTCTGTGAAGATGTCTCAAGTATTGTTATTATTTCATATATTATTTGATCTTCCATCCTCACGACACTTCGGATGGAACTAACTCCGATGGAGATGTAATGATGAAAATAATAACGTTTACGCCATCTTATGTGCAGAAACCATATGTGAGGATTAATCGTGACAGGAATGATTGAAAAGAATCCTACGAATACACGAATCCGTATTGATTGAAGTTAAAAGCCACGTCCAAAACAGTAAGAAATCGATTGAAAGATGAAATAAGTTTGCATATTCTTTTTTAATTGGAAATGGATTTCAATGAAAATAGTTTACCGGATTACTTATCTTTTGGTTTTTTTTTCGAAAGATTAAAATAAATGACGAAAAATAAAACAAAGGACAGTCACAAAAAAAAAAAAAAAAACAAAACAAAAAAGTATTTAAATAATCATAAAATAAAAGCGATTTTTCTAGGAAGATTGTGTTCTGAAGGTTTATTTCCTCTCAGGGATACTGCATCTTGAAGTGCTGGCTTCTAGCAAAACAGGATTAAATTGGGAATTTTAACTTCTCCGAACGAGAATACGGTTTTGAAAATTAAAGAAAAACAAACCAACAAAAAAATAACAGGGAATTAAATTGAAGTTAGAAGAGACGTTTAAAAACTTAGTAAATAATTGAAACAATTTTTTAAAAATGTAATTACATTCATAAGGAAAACGACATTCACTAGAATGTGAAATCAGTCGGCAGTATTTAAAAATAAGTCATTGCCATGAACATCTGTATCGATCAAATCTTTGCAATAAGAACAAACGTCGAATGACCTTAATAAATGTCTACGGAATGCTGATAAAATAACAAGCAATCAGTCATTATACAAACATATATTTTACGACAGAAATTATGTATTTTAACATGTAACACCAGATCTATTTAAAAAGAAGCGAACTCATTTGAATCGTTTTGGACTACGGCCAAATCATGTTGAAACAGCGATTCCCATACAATCACCAAAGTTAAACAACATCCAGCCCGGTCATTACCTGGATGGGTGGTCACTTGGGAATACCAGGTGCTGTAATCTTAGATGTGCGGGTGGTGTAATGGATAATGGCTCAAAATTGTTAATCGGAGAATCGAGTTCTAGTTCTCAATGGATTCGTTATATTCACTTACGCCCACTACCATTGGAAAAAGGCATGAATCCACCTCTTCTCCTCTATGGGTTAATTGGTAATTGTAACACTAAACCTATTATTATCTCCATTACCTCAAAGTCTTACATTCTTGAATGGCTTTAAATAAGATGCAAAAATTGTTGATAACCTATTGGGAAAATAGAATAATCAAAGAACCTACCAATGTCTCGGACGTAACGGGACATCAGGCGAACCTCTACGACTTCTTTTTAACCTCCTTCTCTGATAAATGCTTAGCAAAAGATTTACATTCACTAGGCACATCAGACAATTCCCTAATCACTGTCCAGATTGATGCCAAACTTAAAGCATCCCCTGATGCACCGTTCCATAGAAGGATTTTTCACTATGTGAAGGCAGACTGGGACAGCTTTCGATCCTACATGATAGAAGCTCCCCTCCCAATATTCTTCAAGCATGCTGCCTCCGAAACTGCTGCCCTTCTCACTGATTGGATCCTTGATGGATGGAAGAGTTTTATACTCCACCAAAATATCAGCAAAAACCAAAGAGTCAACCTTGGTTCACCACCGAATGCGCTGCAGTCATAACACACCGAAAACACTACAATATCCACCGCTAGCAGAGACGTAGTTCGGTCCTCGCTGCATTCAGAACTGCCCTCAATCGCTGCAGAAAAGTTCTAGAAAACGCCAAATGCAGCTATGCACGAGCCGTCCAGACCAGGCTGCAAAGGAAACAAATTAGATCGCGTGAATTCTGGCTTACCAATCAAACCATGAACAGAAGTAAAGCAGCCGTACCAACAATTATAAATGGCCCCGAGGTCATATCTTTCTCAACAGATAAGGCGAACCACTTCGCCTTTATTTTTGCCCCTAAATCAATGTTAGACGACAAAAACATCCCCTCCCCAACTTCCCACGTCTCACTGAGCACAATCTCAGTAATATTACCATTACAGCACGAGATGTCTCTAGACACATAAAATATATTAACCCTAAGAAAGCCAATGGTCCAGACAAAATTCCAATGGTTGTCTTTAAGAATATCAACCCAGAATTATCTCTAATCCTATAAAAGTTATTCCAGCACTGCTTGAAGGAAAAATCCTTCCGTAGTCTGTAGAAAGTATCAAGAACGCGGGCCTACGATCTTACCACTCCCAGACCCATCAGTTTCCTCAGTATCATCAGGAAGCTTTCTGATGCCATAATCAGTAAGAAGGTCGTCGAGTACATACAAAAGAACAACCTCTTCAGCGACGAGCATATGGCTTCCGGTCGGCTCGATCCACTGACGACGTCCTAACTCCCATTACTCAAAGAATCAGTGAAGCTCTTGACGACAGGCAAACATCGAGGACAAAGCATAAGATATCTCAAAGATATTCGACAAGGTGTGACACAAAGGTTTACTACACAAGATCCCCAGTTATAGAATCACTAGAATGGTTTTCTTTATTATAAAATCCTTCCTAACAGGTTGATCCCTGAAGGTAGTTATTAATAGCCATTCCTCTAGAGCCCTAGTGGTCACTTTTCGGACCAACCCTCTTTCTGATCTACATAAATGATCTGCCTAAGAATATACTTACATTATTTTTTATAATTTAAGCCGATGGTACGACTATATACATGCGTACCTCTAAAACTCTTGATGGTCAGAGATTGGCGACTGATCTCTCTTCCGATATTGCACAAACTACCCAATGGGGTAAAAACTGGCTGGTTACATTCAATACCTCTAATATGAAGCTAGTTACGTTCCATCATCGCTGATCGGACCCCGAACTACTCCCAACCATTATGAACGGAGATAGCCCCTTGCCTTGAAAGACTGTTGGGTCTCGAACTCACACCTGACCTCAAGTGGGACTCGTACATACGATCCACTGCAGGTAAAATGGTCGGTTCCCTGTACGGCTCCAGTAAGTACCTGACTCCTCCTGCTATCCTCTACCTTTACAAGAGCCAGACCAGGTCAAAAATGAAATACTGTTGTCGTATTTGGACGGGAGTGGGACTTCACTCTCCATTCATGATAATGTCCAAAAGCGTCACCAAGACCTTATAGGTGACGAATAATTCTCCACCATTCAACCTCCCTCCCACAGGCATGAGAAGAACACGCCATGACATTTACATAGTAGCAACCCCCACCCCTGTATTCCATCGGTGATGAGTAAGTTCAACTCGAGAACCTCCTCCCGCAAACCACTGCCCTGTGGAACCGACTCCCAAGAGGATGTTTCACCGATCACTACAATCTTAACGTTTTCAAGGCTCGGGTTAACTGTTATCCTCCGCTCATACACACACAAGTAGCCTCCTAATGTAACCCACTATCTCGAGTGAAAAGAGCTTTGTAAAGGGTGAACCCTACTGTAAAAAGAGAATCAATCAAGTGAATCGTTTTAAATTTTGTGATAACAACAGCCTTGTGGTTTAGACGTTTCCCCGATACGCTGATAAAAAATAATCACTTAATCATTATATATTTCTTTTAATTATTTAACCCAAGCAAGGAAATAAAGCCTCTAAAATGCAAGAGCTTTTTGAGTTATAGTGACGCCATCTTATGTGTAGAAAGCATATGTAAGGATTAATGGAACGATTGAAAAGAATCCTTTTTATACACACATACATATGTATTAACTTAAATTAAAAGCAACGTCCAAAGAACAATGGACCCTATATTATATTTTATAATATTATATCTAGCGTTATCAACTGTTTCAACAACGTCAGTACGTTCAAAGCGTCGGTTTTAATATTAATACCATAATAAAATGTTTTACTAATAAAATTGTACACTTTAACGTGTAACAACAGATTCGTCGAAAAAAAAAAGAACGTATCTGGATCGATCAAAATTTTGCAATAGAAGAAACAGCTTCATGGTATGAATAAACATTTTCTAAAACATGTAACACGGGAATCATTCAAAAAAAAAGAAGAAAAAAGTATCTCATTTAAAAAATATAAGGACAAAATAAAAGAAAAATTATTGATTTTGTTTGATAGTTTCGTATTAAAAAATATTTATAGAAATAACGAACGTATTTTAGTTTGTGTTAAGCACAAGGGGACACGTTATCAATATAGATTATTTTGTCAGACGATTTTTCATTTTTATAGTAGAACAAGTAAGCAAAAGTATTAATTGATTTCAGAATTTATGTCATTTGTACATGTTATTTATATAAGAGTAAGATTTTCAAAGCATAAATTATTATGTTAATTACTTAAGTACTTGTGAAAATAATTAGACAGATAAAACAATTGTTACATTATTTACATTGTTCGGACTATTGTCTTCATCTTTGTCGCGATATTTATCACAACATTTAGGCCGTTGTACGCTTCGGCCTTCTTCAGGTGGTTGGAATTCCGAACTGAACCCTTTATTTTGCTCACTGTGTTAGACTGTTCTAGAATCCTCAAGGACACATGGCACAGTAGATAAAAGCGTTGGTTAGATCCAGTGACAGGACCCAAAGAGTGTGAGCTCAATACCCGGTTAAGGCAGTGGAGAACTTTCAGAGGGAAATTAGCAGGAGATAACTGATAACTGACATCCATCAAACGTGGAACTAGAATAATTTTTTTTTTGTCTAACGATTTTTCATTTTGATGTTAGAACAAGTAAGCAAAAGTATTAATTGATTTCAGAATTTATGTCATTTGTACATGTTATTTTTTGTAAAATATAAAACATCGAAGCAGCCTAGAAAGATATCACATCATGTTGTACTTCATATCTGAAAGATGTTTTGTTTTATGAAACTCCCAGTATACCCAATATGTAGTAATGCCAATAGTAGTATTAACCGGGTCCTTTTAAATAAATATTCTCCATTAATTGATCTGATTGATTGATTTGTTTTTTTTTACGGCTTATCGACCTTTTTGAGGTTATTTAAAGCAGAAACATATTTTTGGATTGTAAGAATTTGGGGGAAGATATTAATTATTTTCTGATACAAGTTTTACTATTTAACCCAAATCGGAGGGGAGAAGTGGTGGATTTTATAACTTTCTCAACGATATTTGCGTTTAAGTGAATATAACGATCCCGACTGGAATTGGAACTCCGCTTTCCGATTTGTCATCCCGAGCCTTTTACCCATTATACCACACGCACAACCATTGAGCTGAGTAAACAGTAATACAACAATTTTCTAGAAAAACAGGTAACTGTTATCGTTTTTTCCAATTTTTCGAATTATATATGCTATCCATTTCAGTTGTTTCTGATGTTGAAAGTCCTCAAGTAATGTGGTTTCTGTTATTTGGTACAGTTCTTTTTGTTTACGATTTGGTTGAGACAGTCCACGAGTTTTAAAGAAAAGTGATCCTCACTAAGACATATAGGATACATTCGCTCGAATATATTTTCACCATTGATCAGAGAAAGCGCTCATATTCAGCTGGAAGTTCAGACATTTCTAAAGGAGATTGGTACAATGCATGATATCCATATAAAACTCTCGATCTTACGAGGCTATTTAAGAACTTGAGTCGAGCTTTTATGTTAATGTTTCAATTTTGCAGCAACTTGCGGTATGGGGTGAAACTACACTTAGTGCAGCGTATCTTATCTTCAATTTCCTTCTCTCCTATACTAATCATAATAAATGTGAAATAATTTACAAATATGTTATATAAGAGTAAGATTTTTAAAGCATAAATTATTATGTTAATTATTTAAGTACTTGTGAAAATAATTAGAGAGATAAAACAATTGCTACATTATTTACATTGTTCGGACTATTGTCCTCATCTTTGTCGTCATATTTATCACAACGTTTCAGCCGTTGTACGCTCCGGCCTTCTTCAGGTGGTTGGAATTTCGAACTGAACCCTTTATTTCGCTCACTGGGTTAGACTGTTCTAGTTCCACGTGCCATGTTTGATGGA